CATCAGGGTTTTGCTTCATGGACTTTGGGCTCTCTAGCTAGATGCTTATTGATTGCAGGACTTCAATATTTTGATAACTGGATCTTTGTAGTCAGTTCCAGGAGGAGGAAGAGACCAAATAAGGGACTAGATCTTGGTGGCCAGCTTGGGGAATGCAGTATAATGGATTTTTAGCACGGCAGAGGAATGGGGGAGAAGGCAAGGCCTGCCAGAGACATGTTTGCCATGCTCGGGCTGGCAGAGGGTCTCTTCAAAAACTATACACCACCAGGCCTGATTTTTTTTTTTTTTGGTTTTTCGAGACAGGGTTTCTCTGTGGCTTTGGAGGCTGTCCTGGAACTCACTTGGTAGTCCAGGCTGGTCTCGAACTCACAGAGATCCGCCTGCCTCTGCCTCCTGAGTGCTGGGATTAAAGGCATGCGCCACCAACGCCCGGCTCCAGGCCTGATTTTTTAAAGTGAATTCTGGGGATTTAATATGTCCTCATGCTTGCAAGCCAAGCACTTTATACCCCCTCTTACATACATTTTAATTGTGTTTGCTCATTTTAATAAAGCAAAATAGTTCTTGGTCACTGTTCCATCACCTCCCAGCTATGTGTGAGTACTTAAAGAGGCAGGGATTCAGCCGGGCGTTGGTGGTGCATGCCTTTAATCCCAGCACTCGGAGGCAGAGGCAGGTGGATCTCTGTGAGTTCGAGGCCAGCCTGGTCTACACAGTGAGTTCCAGGAAAGCCTCCAAAGCCACAGAGAAACCCTGTCTCGAAAAACCAAAAAAAAAAAAAAAAAAAAAAAAAAAAAGAGGCAGGGATTCCTTAGAGCCGAAGTCACAGGCATTTTCAGACTACCCAGTGTGGGTGCTGGGATCTGAACTCCAGACCTCATGATTTAACAGGAATCACTTTTAACCACTGCACTCTCTCTCCAGCCCCTTGGTGATTGTATCTCCCAATGTATGTTCCATCCCTTTGCTCTCCTCTCTCTTCGTACTATGCACCTCTCCTCTCTCTAAAGTTATTCTTACCATGTGCGTGTTGGTATACTTCATTGTCTATGGAACAATGTTCTTTTGGGGGGGGTTTGAGACAGGGTTTCTCTGTATTTTTTTTTTTGGAGGCTATCCTGGAACTTGCTCTGTAGACCAGGCTGGCCTCGGACTCACAAATTTGCCTGCCTCTGCCTCCCAAGTGCTGGGATTAAAGGCGTGCACCACCAACGCCCAACAATGTTCATTTTTTGAAAATGATTTTTCTGCTCCTCATCAGACTGTAGAATCTTTGACTTGACATTCACTGATTCCCTCTTTGGTCAGTTTGAACATGCCTCATAACTTCCAGTGAGTTTTTCACTGTGTTAGTGAATTTTTCAGTTCCAACATTTCCAATTGATTTTATTCAAAACTCAGATCTGTCTCCTAGCTGCTATTCTCTGTGGTCTCACATCATTTTCAGCCTCCTTCAGTTCTCCACACACACTTGAAAAAGGTGAACTAAAATATTTGTTTAGCCGGGCAGTGATGGCCACGCCTTTAATCCCAGCACTCGGGAGGAGGAAGCAGGTGGATCTCTGTGAGTTCAAGGCCAGCCTGGTCTACCGAGCTAGTTCTAGGACAGCCTCCAAAGCCACAGAGAAACCCTGTCTCAAAAAACCAAAAAATAAAAATAAATATTTGTTTAGTAGGTCCAAACCTGGGTTTCTTCAGGGTAGCATCCATGCTCTACCCATGCCCCATGTAGGTCTATCTTGGTCTACCCCATAATTAGTATCAAAAATTAGGAAATCTTAATGAATTTTGGAAACTGGATACTTGCTCTCTCTAGGATTTGTTGCTTGATGACTGCCCTGAAGCCTATGTCATGTGTGTTTTTGCTCACTAGCTAAATGCTCAACTAAAAATTGAGCCGGGATTTCCTTGAATACCTACACTTACACCTTTGCTGAGGGCACTGTTCCTGTTTGGTGGTGGTGTCTTCAATACTTGTGCAAGCATTTTACAATTCTGCCTTGATATTCACTTCCTACAGCACAGAGCCTGAACATCAGAGACAAAAACAGGGACTTTAACGGGGCTCCCTGGTCATTCCCACAGCCCTACCCATGTACATGACCTTCTATGGTCTCATGAATATATTGGAGTCTTTAAAAGTCTCCTGTGAATATCTTATGCCTCAGCTTGTCCATCTGCATTTTTTGGTCAGTTGTTAGTTCCAAGAGGTATAATTTCCCTAAGAAGTTGAGATGTACAATAATGGTTTATATCACTTTTGACAAGTACACTGGGAGAAAGGTTATTTACACTGGGCAAGCTCTGTGTCATATTAAATAAAAATAATCCCTGGGAGCATAGGCAATTATCAGTTTTTAAAAAACATTTATTTATTTATTATGTATGTAGTGCTCTGCCTGCAGGTCAATCTCATTATAGATGGCTGTGAGCCACCATGTGGTTTCTGGGAATTGAACTCAGGACCTCTGGAGGAGCAGCCAAAGCTCTTAATCACTGAGTTATCTCTACAACCCAGCAGTTATCAGTTTTAAACAATTTACATTGGTATGGATTATGTTATTGGTACAAACGCAAGGTTTTTTGCTATACTGTGTATATGTTTCTACTTCTGTTTAAGATTTTTGTAGGTGGACTGGAGAGATGGCTCAGCAGTTAAGAGCACTGGCTGCTCTTCCAGAGGTTCTGAGTTCAATTCCTAGCAACCACAAGATCTACTGCCCTCTTCTGCCCTGCAGAAATACATGCATGTAGATAGAACACCCCATACATAATAAATAAATAAATCTTTTAAAAAATATTTTTTGGCCAGGAGTTGGTGGCGCACGCCTTTAATCCCAGCACTCGGGAGGCAGAGGCAGGTGGATCTCTGTGAGTTCGAGGCCAGCCTGGTCTACAAAGTGAGTTCCAGGACAGTCTCCAAAACAATACAGAGAAACCCTGTCTCGAAACCCCCCCAAAAATATACATATATTTTTTTGTTCATTGTCACAATTTTGAAGTTATTGTCCTTGTATTGTACATCTGTTTCTAGTTTTGCTTAAGGTATTACATATAAAACTTGTTTATTTATACAATGTGAAGTCCTAGTCTTTAACAGTAATATAGAATAATGAAACACAGGTTTATAGTCAGCCATAAATACCAAACATATAGTCATATTAGATTTTTCTAGGTATTCAAAGATGTGTTTCAAACTGGTAGTCTTCAAACACTTCAAAGACCTACAGAGCATGGCATTTAAGATGTTTTAATAACTTAGGATTTTTCTGACATGAGACATGTCTGCTCCTTACATCACCAATCTACTTCTAAAGAGAGTGATGGACACCAAAGACTCTCCATATGGAGTTTGCTTTCTTTGTGGAACAAACTGGCCTAAAGGGCAAGAAACTACCCTTGTCTCAACTGCTGACGGTAAGTACTCCGTCCAGTGTCCAACCTGGACAAGCAGAACACCAAGAAAAGCGACTGCCAAACTTTTCCAAGACAGGGCTGGACAGTCCTTCATAATTTCCTGCTTCTGAAAAAGGTCTGTCAGATATATTAGGCCTGTAGGCTAAAGACAGATGTCCCAACATTACAGAGGAACCTGGGTGACTGTCCAGCAGCCAGCTGCTTCTGCCACTTCTTACATTTGTTTGGAAGTCGCATTGTTTGCTTGCACTTCCTGCTTACTCAGGTAATATTATTTTCTTTCTCATCTCTTTGATGGGGGTTGAAGACTAGATCGTTACAGTTACAGTCCTCCCAAATCTTAGCGAAAGACATATTAGGCACAAGGCTTTAGATTCTTCAGGAGAGGACAGCTATTGGTGTAATCTCTATATATCCATCAATTAGTTATAGTCTGGACATTTAGAATGCATTTCTTACATAATAATTGTTTTTGTTGTATATAGTTTCACTTTTGTTAAGGTTATTACCTTTTCTCTCTTCTAAACAATACTTGACAGTAGTTCTTATTGTATATAATTCTTTTTTTTTTTTTTTGAGACAGGGTTTCTCTGTGGCTTTGGAGGCTGTCCTGGAACTCACTTTGTAGACCAGGCTGGCCTCGAACTCACAGAGATCCGCCTGCCTCTGCCTCCCGAGTGCTGGGATTAAAGGCGTGCGCCACCAACGCCCGGCTGTATATAATTCTTAATTAGACAGAAAAGGGGAAACGTTGCAGGGATTCTGTCACTGTTCTGCTGGCCAATTGTAAGAAATTTGGCCCAAGGGGCAGAATTGCATTGAGGAGCATGTGACCCGAATAAAGGGCACAGGCCTGAGGGTTATGTGCTCTCCTGGAAGGTAGACTAACTGGCAACGAGCCACTCACAGTCAGGCTGAGGTTCCCCATGCCCCTTGGGAACCAGGAGCAGCAGTGTAGCAGCTGGGCCTGCAGTGGTGTAGCAGCTTTGCTCTGTCTTGAGTGTTGTGCACTGATTTTACCTCTGAATAAATTGTTAGTGACCCTATTGGATTCCCTAAGTGCTGTGGTGTCCAGACATCTTCCTGAGATTTACAGGTATCTAAAAACCCAGCCTGAGCCAGATGATTAGCAAGGAGTTCTCAGCAAATAGACTCATGTCAGAGGCTCCTCCAACTCTGCCCTATGCTGGAAACACACAGAGCTCTCCCGCACAACCACTGGTCTACCTGACCATTGCACCATAAGTCATATGATGCACAAGACACTGGAGAGGAGACTGGAGTCTGGTAGTTGATTGTTGCCTGTTGAATTCTTAAACATTTGTTTAGGAAACTATGGTCCTATCTGGCCTGGCTCTGTATGGTAGGTGAGCTTAGAGTTATGTTTATCTTTCAGAGTTGAGGAAAGAACAAAGAATATGGAACAGACCCCACATGGCTCACAGGAGCCAGGATATTTGCTGTCTTGCTGTTTACAGGAAAGCCCTGCCTTCTTCTGGTGGTATCATAGACTGAAATAATCAGTGATAGACAAGGCTAGCAACACCCACATTAAATGACCAACTCCAAGGACACAAAAACACTTGAAATATCTATACTTTAATGCTCCAGGCATTTAAAACATTCATATAGTTGCCTTATTTCAAAAATCACTTCCTCTTAGGTGCGGTTCTATGTCCAGGATTGGAGGCACATCCACCAACCACCGAGTCCTCACAACAGCACCCACATGCCACCTGCAACCTCCTTTGGCACCCTACCATTTTTGTTCATGGATCCCATTTGCCACACCCATGAACACAACCACAGCTGTTCATAAAAACACTTCACAGTTGACGCTGGCTGGTTCCGTGGCTCGCAGCCCGTTCCCAATGCTCCCCAACGTCCTGTGCATGTGAGTGCCATCCCACAGAGCTACAGAAACACTGTCAGCTGGTGTGCACACCAGCCGCTGCTCTGCTGTAGCTCACAACACAGAGGCACTTAAAATTCCTTGGCAAAATGGACTTTATAATTGCCATTGAAGTCAAGTGTGAGGGAAGGGGAGGGACTTTTCTCCCATAATTAATGGATAACTCTGATATAGATTATTAGATTTAGAGATTCATGTCTGTTTACATCTGCCATCAAGGACTTCATAAACTGCTTGTGTAAATAAAAGCACATTTGTTTCTCCAGGTGCTTGGATGAGACGCAAACTAAGAAGCTGCTCAGCCAATACTTACACTAGGAGTATTTATGTCAATATCTGATAGTTCTTACGGAATTGCTTGCTTCAAAGAGATTTTTTTTAGCCTAAATCCTTAAGTGATTCTTCCAAGGTAATAATGTGTTTGTCCTGCTTCCCAAAGTAATGGTTCAAGGCACCTCAAGACATATAGTTACCTGAGGTTCTGATTCAGTTGACCAGAGGTGGGAAGGGCCATCAACTTCTTTTAACTTCATGGGAGGTTATAGCATGTAGTCAGCATTGAGAACCTTGGGACTAAAGGCCCTTGAGTCTAATTCCTGCTCTCCTTTATTCTCACAAAAAGCCCTTGAGGTAGTCCCTGGGTCAGCGGACATGTCCTCCATGAGATAAGAAGCTAAGGCACAGCGAGATTATTTGGCTCGTGTGACATTGTGCAGTCAGATGACAGAGGCAGGAGTGGAATCAATAGCTCCAAACAAATAACCCCTCCCGCAGTGACGGCAGCACTTACACCCACTAACCACGAAGACTGGCTAGGGACCATCTGTGCCAATGGCACCATGGAACGGTACAAAATGGTTCAGAGCCAACCTTCCTACTTGGTGGGAAGTAAATGCAAAAAATGGTTGAAGCTGTGTGAGGAATGAACTCAACCCTTCCCATTTCCCCTTATACAGATGTTATGGGTTTGTTCTGGTTTATTATGAAACCTGTCAGGATTCATAAAGACTTACTGACATCTGCTTTGTCAACTCTGCCACCATAACAGCCAAATACTTTTGAATGCCCCTGGGATTTGGATTCAAGAACATACCTAGACCGCCTTGCTCTCTCCACCTAAACTAGTCGTGAACCCAGCACCCTCCAATTTCCCAGTGTGTGAACCTCTCCAGGGTGTGGCTAATCGTTCTGCTTCTCAGAAATTCCTCAGCGCTAACCCATCAGTTGTGCTGGGCCTCAAGGACTGACTTAATGTCAATGTTTTACTTTGCTCTGGCTGCCAACTTTGTTACCCATATTCTAGGCAACCATGGCACCTTTAGCCTCTAATTCCAGATTCCCATGAATTGGGACATTCTTCACTTCAGTATAACACATTTGGTCACCCATGGACGCACATAATAAATAATTTCATCATTCTGTTCCTCGCTGCAAATTCCCACCACTCATTCTATCTTCTGCAGCTCTTTTGTCCAAGTCCCATTTGACTGCAGAACACACCAAGCAGATGCACATGAGGAAGCACTTGTATACACCAGGGGAAAACCACACACTATGCTCTGCGAAGAAGGGCAGCTTTCACTGTGTCTTCTGTGGTTTCCAGGACACTCTGCAGAAGGAGCCTATTTACTCAGCTCATACTGAATACTCATGACATCTTCCCCCTGCTTCAGGATTGGGCTCCCAAGAAGCCTATAAAACACGAATGGATCCATACATGGGAACCACACCTCATAGTGCACTTTTCTTGACCCAGGAAGCTGTACAACGCTCCAAAAACACTTCTTTTTACTCAGGCAGGACACACCCTCATCCAGAGGGCATCTCTCCTGTTACCCACATGCTTAAGCAGACAGGGCTCTTTCTGGAATGGAACCTGCCCCTCCAGGCCCTTGAAGCCAAGGAGGACAGATATGGGGAGAGCTAGGAGGCGAGGAGCAGGATGGGGAATGGAATTCTACCTTCCCTGACTCCCAGAGAGGATTGCTACCAAGGTCAAAGGTGGGAGAGGAGGAGGGACGGCAAAGCTGCATGCAGAGTTCTGATTAATTCAAAGATTGCTGAGGCTCGTGAGACTTCAGAGACTCCCGCCCACCCACACCATTAAGTAAAGTCAGATGCCAGGTTTCCTTTTTTCTCTCTTTCTCTCTCATGCTTATTTGATGCTTGCAGATTCATCAGGCCTGCTGCTTGTTTCTAAAACATGCAGTGAGCAACACACACTGTTTGGTGCCCACAGGACCCCTGGCAAGTGCTCGCTCATAAGCCACCAGGAAGGTGACAAGCAAGAGGCCTTCACTGACAGGCCTGTGCACAGTGTGGACTGTGCCTCACGCTTGTCCAGAGTTTAGTGGGACAGTGTCGCAGAGGGGATGTGCAGGGAACATGTGGCAACCTCCAGAATGCTCTAAGGTCCAGTCTGTGTCCGGTGAGGCTGCACTGGACACAGAGCTAAGGCACTAACGCTGCAGCAGGTGGGATGGCAGCGCTCAGAGGACTCTGGGCTGCATCCTGGGGGCCGGGAGCTCTGCTCCCTGTGCCACCCAAGGCCGAGACCGCTCACGGGCTGAGACACACCACAGCCAAATCCCTGGTTCCGGCCCTTTAGAAAAGTGTTCGGCTCTCCCTGCCAGCGACTGGGTCCGTCTCCTCAGGTCTCCGCAGCACCAGAGACAGCACCACCTGCTCTCCTGCAGCTGCCTTCTCTTCACACGCTCTTCCTGCACATCTGTTCCCAGCACGCCTTGATGAGGAGCAGTCCAGTCATCTCACCCTCCTCTGGAGCAGGGCTCCACACATTTCCCAAGGTGGCTCTGCACCCTCCATCCTTCAGAGCTTGATGAACGCAGCCGGCTGCGGCACCTGCTCTGTGTCCGGGGGCGGGAAGACACTGGATATGGCTATGTCCACGATTCCTTGGCACAGTTCTGCGTAGAGCTTCCTGAAATAAGTTTTTAAAGATATCACTGAGGGTGTTCTTCCAAGTGCAAGAGGAAAATCAAACCTGGGTGTGTGACAGGGAGGGGGCGTGAATTTCAGTGAGGACCTGCTCCAGGCATGCCTTTGCGTGGCGCCTTTGTAAAACTGGTCTCTGTAGAAAAAGTACCAGCAAGAGGCTCTACACACAGGTAAAACATGTAAGGCAGAATTTAAGTATTTTAAAACAGCCTTCATTGGGACATAAACAAATCCTGCTGACAGACAGAAAAGGCGATTTCAGCAGTGTCATGAGCCCTGCCTGTCTGCCTGTGAGGGAGCAGACGGAGGGGTAGACATCAGCCAGGAAAATCTTCACCTGCTAAGGGACAAGGGATACCATGAAGACTGCGGGACTGACCGTTGAGGTGGGACTGAGGGGATAGAGAGCAGCCAAAGAATGGATGGCGGCTTAGAAAGGCTGGGGAGGGGGAAGGAAAAGAGAGGGGGAGGAGCTGTGTGAGTGTGTGTGTGAGTGTGTGTGTGTGAGGAGGGGAGGAGGCTGTGTAAGTGTGTGTGAGTGTGTGTGTGAGGAGGGGAGGAGGCTGTGTGAGTGTGTGTGTGAGTGTGTGTGTGAGGAGGGGAGGAGGCTGTGTAAGTGTGTGTGTGAGTGTGTGTGAGTGTGTGTGAGTGTGTGTGTGAGGAGGGGAGGAGGCTGTGTGAGTGTGTGTGAGGAGGGGAGGAGGCTGTGTGAGTGTGAGTGTGTGTGAGTGTGTGTGAGGAGGGGAGGAGGCTGTGTGAGTGTGAGTGTGTGTGAGTGTGTGTGTGCGAGGAGGGGAGGAGGCTGTGCGAGTGTGTGTGTGAGGAGGGGAGGAGGCTGTGTGAGTGTGTGTGAGTGTGTGTGTGTGTGAGTGTGTGTGTGTGAGGAGGGGAGGAGGCTGTGTGAGTGTGTGTGTGTGTGAGGAGGGGAGGAGCTGTGTGAGTGTGTGTGTGAGTGTGTGTGTGTGAGGAGGGGAGGAGGCTGTGTGTGTGAGTGTGCGTGCTGGGAGTGAAAGAAGCCAGTGTGAAGGGAACACAGCCTACACCAACAAGACAGAAGAGCCCAGGGTAAACTGGGAGCCGGGGAAGCCGAGCAGAGCTACAGACTCTCCGAGACCCAAGTCCGTAGGCCGAGTGGGTTTAACCTCCTCCAGTAGCAACAAACCGTTACCTTGTTTCCTCTGCTATGGTTCCAATCAGCACACGGAGTTTCCCCTCCAGTGCTGTTGACCAGTAACAACCACAGCTTGCTCAGCAGGTTTTGGGAATCTAAGCGGTCAAATCCAAGGACAGGAATCCAGACCACCTGCCCAGGACCAAGGTCTTAACCATTCTACTTCCCAGAAGATGCTGCGTCCCACCTCTTACGCCACTGCCATCCCCGAGGCACAATGACATGTCCACCCAGCAGCACTTCCTCTCCCATCCCTAGACTGCTAGGTCTGCATTTCACCCTGTTCTAAGACTTCTGGGAAGCCATGCTTCCTTCCATTTTCTCTTAGGAAGTCCCAACTCTGGTTGGCCTTTATCTGTCCTGCTCTTTCTCTCCACTCCCAATCCCGGGCTCCCTACTCTCTGTTTACACAATCAAGCCCCATTTTCAACAGTTTAGTGGCCAAATTATTCAAGCTCCCATTTCTGAAGGGACAGAGACATGGAAGCCCTTCAGTGGATGGCGTTAGTTCACCAAGAACCACAAGCTATAAAAATATGCCATGCTGGAGCAAAGAAATGATACACAGAGCAGTTTCAAGGTGTGTCTTAAACATTAGTGACACAGGAAGATTTAGTGTGGCATGGCCATCTCACAGTCATCAGACCTGCATCACTGGAAGCCCAGCCCTAGGGATCCATACGTAAAATCATGTCACTAGAAGAATTTGGGTTGACATGTGAAGTTGGGCATAATATAAAGAAATCATTTGCATTTAAGCTTTGCAGTTGCTAGCTAATAGAAAGACATCTCTATTTCAATAAAATCCAAGCAATTGTAAATCAGGTGAGGCTGGAGAGACACTCAGTGGGAAAAGGCATAAGTGTGACAACCTGAACTCAGTCCCCAGAACCCACGTAAAGGTGGAAGAGAGGACTGACTCTACAAGGTTACCCTCTGACCTTCTCACACATGCTGTGGCACATATGTGCCTGCACACACTCACACACACACACACACACACACACACACACAATAATAATAATAAAGAAAGAGATAAAAAGTGAGTGGAAAACACTATTAACCAGGAAGAATGGTTTTCTCATTCAAAGAATATGGACAGAGAACTGTGTGGCAGGCACAGGGCCAGGCTCAAAGACGCTAAAGTGACCAAGAAAAACAAGGCTGGACACATCATAGTGTGAACATTCCATATTTTAAAAAAATCTAGCTGTCTGACAGCAACTGATGCAATGGAAGAAATACCAAGACTCTGATAGAGCAAAAGGAAGCCTTGGTGAGGGAGGCAGGGTCCACAGAAAGCAAAGATCACACGGCTGGTAAGGGCTGAACCAGGGAGTGGTGTCTTTGGTTGAGCTACAGAGGCTGGCCAGACAGAAGTCTGACGGGCAGAAGCGGGAGGGTGGCTTCTCTTTTCTCACTCAGGCAGCTCTGGGACGGATTTTACGGGGGCAGTGCAGAAATAGAAATCCTGATAAGGAGTCCCTTTGCAAAACTTCCCCCAGTGATGGAATGTGACTGAGGAGCAGGAGGCTGGAGGCAGAGTCCACAGGACCCATGGATTGAGGGGATGGGTGCAGAAAGCAGGCTCTCTGCCAGTTCCTGAGGGAGATGGCAGCTCCACCCTTCCCCCAGGCATGGAAAAGTCTGGAGAGGTGGTGCTTCCTATTAGACCCACAGACATCTCACAGGATCTGGGGAAGGCAGGCACACACATGGGTCTAGAATTCAGGAGCTGCATTGACTTGGTGGCTTTCTTATGAAGTTTAACAAGAACACATACAGGGGGAGTGGAGCGGAGAGCCAAAGGCCACTCAGAGCCAGAACCTGAAGTCCTTGGTGAGGAAGACAGAGTCCAGCTTGCTTGCAGCCTCTTACTCAGAGAAGAAAGACTCAACGAGAGGGAGGTAGCTGCCTCCAAAGCTGCCACCGGGAAATGAGGAAACAAAGGAACTGTCAGGTACTAAAGATAGGCTTGTCATTTCACAGGATGCTTCCCGAAGGAAGATCAGGCAGCTCCTGAGCTGTAGCCCAAAGATTGGTCTGTGAAGAGGGCGGGCTGGGGGGGAGGGGTGCACTCACTGGAGTAGGGTTGGCTTCATGGAGAAGCAGCTGGAAAATGGATGCAGGCATGTGGTAATGGGAGCCCCACAGGCACGAGAGAGACATCAGGAGGGAGGACTGGAGTGGGTCCTCGATTGAAGGGGCAGGAGGAGACACAGGGCTGTCCATGTTGAAGGGAGACTTAAGAAACACCCGCTCGCCTCTACCCTCAGCATCTCTCGCTGGTCCTCCCCCAGGTCTCAGCTCCACCATCACCCTGAGAGGCCGTGTGTAAATCATATCCCCTTTGATGTTCTTCTCTGCTAGACAGCTTGTCTCCTTTCCCTTCCCCACACCCGCTGTGGGACCCAGAAGCTTAGGCAGAGCCTAACAGGCACCTGTTGGCTGCGGGGTCTGAAAAATGCAAGTGCATCATCATCTCCAGCCCCCAAAGGCCTGGCCTTTAAACCATCATGTGTTCACAGTGTCCCCTGTGGGCAGGTCTTTCTTCTAAACCACAGCACAATCACTCTAGCTTCTGCAAGAGGCAGACATGAGATCCATGGAAGGCTCTTGACACGGGGAAAGTGCATCTTCAGACCATCAAACAACAAAGGAGGGTTATCCCCTCGTAGCTCACCTGTACAGCAAGACCCTCCACAGAAAGTCCAGCTCACTCTCCTACCGCCCTTTCGTGCTTTGTATGCACTAACACCAGGCAGGATCAAGACCCTGCAGGATGTCATCCTGCTTGCGAGGATGTCTCCTCAGCTGAGGATCTAACCCTGCTACAACCCAGCACCAAGCAAGGCTCCCGTGTATAGTCTCCCACTGTGCAGCTGAGCCCCAGTGCCTTACATGCTAGCTCAGGCTCTGCTGTGTCACCTCCTGCCTGGGGAGCCTTTGAATCTCACTGTCTCTCTTACTCACAGGGTCCAGCTTAGTCAACTTGTCACATGAACATGCCGATGGCAAGGTTGCTCTCACAATTTGGGGTGGGGGGCTTGTTTTATGTTGCTATTGGAGGCAGGATCTCACTCTACAGCTCAGGACATCCTGGAATTTACTGTGTAACCCAGGATGGCCTTGAACCCATAGCCTCTCTGGTGCTGAGATTACGGGTCTAACCCAGCATAACTAGCTTAGTCTTCTTTGAAACCCTGGTGGCATAAACACACAGGGAAATAGCCCAGCTGAGTCCTCCTGCCAGCCAGGGTCTCCAAAGGACTCCCCTCACTGTGACAGCTATCCTGACAGTGGTCAAAGGGTCCATGCTTGCACCTGTCATGCTACCCAAGGTGCACATCCAACTTCCAGTTGTTCAACCCAGGCAGTCAGGCTTACTGAGCACACGCAGGGGCGCCGTTGACCTCAATGAGCCAGACCTTCAGCTCCTCGTCCACCATGAAGTCGAAGCCAAAAAGCTGGAAGCTCTGGTAAGGGAGGTGCCTGGTGCTGATGGCAGGCTCCACACTCATGAGGCAGCTCCTGTGTGGTAAAAAGGGGAGAGCCCACTGAGAATGGAATGGTAGAGGCAGTAGGGACACATGGACCATGCCTGGAAGATCGTATACCAAGTGTGGGCAAAAATCAGTTTCAACTTATTATCTTTTTCAATGGATAAATTCACAGATTATCCAAGAGAAGGCTACTTGTCAAACAACTTGTGAGGGACAAATGCATCAATCCTGCTCTCCCAGGTCAAAGCTGCTAGCTCAGGTCCCACCATGAGCAGCTCAGCCCCAAGTCACCATGCATCTCCATCAGTATAGATGTCACTGGCTGTTACCATAGTTGTTTATGAGAATCACCAGGGGTCCAGTGAGCCCCAGACACTTGCCTGCCTCTGCCTGCCCTGCGCTGGAGTTTCAAGCCACTACACCAGGCTCTAAACATGGGTGCTGGGGATGGAACTCAGGTCCTCATGCTTGCATAGCGATGACTTGACCACCTGAGCCAGCTACCCAGGCCACAGCCCTGGATTTTGCCATGTGAAAAGTGGACTGACTGACAGGAGTTGCAGAGAATCCAGGCAGCGTTGATTTCTCTTGCTAGTTCTACATCTACTGCCAACTATTACTAATGGAACATTTAAGATTACAAGTGCTCAGGGCTGGAGAGATAGCTCAGTGGTCAAGAGCATTGGCTACACTTCCAGAGGACCCGGGTTCAATTCCCAGCACCCAGCACCGACATGGTGGCTCACAACTATCTGTAACTCCAGTTCCAGAGGATCCAACACCTTCATGCAGACGTACATGTAGGCAAAAGACCAATGGAAGCAAAATAAACAATTTAAAAAAAGATTACAAGTATTCAAACTAAATATTGAAATCTATTACAGAATTCTTATTAGCACCAAGTGCTTTTTTTTTTTCTTCTTCTTGAGACAGGGTTTCTTTGTGTAGCCCTGGCTGTCCTGGAACTCACTCTGTAGACCAGGTTGACATTGAACTCACAAAGATCCACCTGCCTCTTCCTTCCGAGTGCTGGGATTAAAGGTGTGCGCCACCATGCCTGGCTAAATGTGTAGTCCAGGCTCCCCTCAAGCTGTGATTCTCCTGCCTCCACTTCTTTCAGCAAATCTACCAGCACGTTCCACCACAGCCGGCTCTAGGCGTCCACTAATAAACCCTGCTCTTATGAACTAGCATCTCTTGATTCTTTACCATTGATGCCAATGAACACACATATATTACTCAGGAACTAAAAAACAAAATAACAACAAAAACTTTGGAAGACTAGGAAGATAGGATAATGGAGACGGGTGAGCATGGCCAAATTATGTTAAAAGCAGGTGAGAAAGTGTCACTGTATAGTATTTGTGCCACCACTACCTGTTACTAACCTGTGCCTAATGGAACACAGTGTAATCCTGGCACTCAAGAGGCTGAGGCAGGAGGATCTTGAATTCAAGGACAGTCTGGATTATGTAAACTTTGTCTCAAAACAGACAATAGGATGGAGAGATGGCTCAACAGGTAAGAGCACTGACTCCTCCTCCAGAGGACCCAGATACAGTTCCCAACACCCACACTGGGGCAGCTTAAGACCACCTATAACTCCAGATCCAAGAGATCTGATGCCCTATTCTGGCTTTAGCCAGCAACTGCATGCACATGGCATACATATACAGACACAAGGATAGACACATTTTTTTTTTTTCCGAGACAGGGTTTCTCTGTGTTGTTTTGGAGGCTGTCCTGGAACTTGCTCTGTAGACCTGGCTGGCCTCGAACTCACAGAGATCCGCCTGCCTCTGCCTCCCGAGTACTGGGATTAAAGGCGTGCGCCACCAATGCCCAGCTTCCCTCCCTGATTTTATTTGTGAGTTTTTTTGTTTGTTTTAAGATCTTTTAAAAATGTGTCTAGCCAGGCTTTGTTGGCGCACGCCTTTAATCCCAGCACTCGGGAGGCAGAGGCAGGCGGATCTCTGTGAGTTCGAGGCCAGCCTGGTCTACAAAGTGAGTTCCAGGACAGCCTCCAAAGCCACAAAGAAACCCTGTCTCGAAAAACCAAAAAAAAAAAAAAAAATCAGGGAGAGAGGAGTGAGAAAAAGAAGAGCCAGGCGTTGGTGGCCCACGCCTTTAATCCCAGCACTTGGGAGGCAGAGGCAGGTGGATTGCTGTGAGTTGGAGGCCAGGCTGGACTGACAGCCTCCAAAACAATACAGAGAAACCTTGTCTCGGAAAACAAAAAACAAAAAACAAAAAACAAAAAAAAAAAAGAAGAAAAGAAAAAAAAGCAATCTATTAAACATAGAGAAAATGCTTTAAGTGAATGTTTTTTGTCCTTGTTTTGGTCACAGGTTTCATTGTGTCTCCCTGGCTGCCTATAACTCTTATGCAGACCAGCCTGGCTTCAAACTCACAGAGATGCACCACGTTTGCTGGGATGAAAGATGTGCACCACTGTGGGACACTGTCCAAGAATGAAGTCGGGTGAGCAGAATTCCGAGTACTTGTAAGAAAACAAGAGTCCCATGTTCTCAGTTCATTCAAAACACAGAATTATTCTTGGAATGTGTTTTCATGCTCCTCCCAGTTGTAACAGACAGAAGTTAGTTTATTTCAGATTATTCCATTACAACTGGCTGTTGTTATTTGTCTATAGGCCTCTATGGAAAAGCATATTTGCCACTCGTGGCTTGTCCTGTGGTTGCACACTTTACTCAGGTGACCCGTTCTAACCCTCAGAGTTAAACTGAATAAAGCTGGCTACCGTCCGAGCCCTTAGTTTGTCCATTTCTTGACTTCCTTCTCCCAGGTCCCACCTCCTCCAGAGTGGTAAACACACCACCATGCCTGGCTCATTTAAGAAGTGTCTTAGCTAAAACATACTTAAATATTATAATTCAGCAGTTTAATAAAAGAGGGCGGCAACAGAAAAGGATAAAAGCACAGGCATTGCAATCGGACAACACACAAAACTGAACTTTTTATCTGCCGGGAGGTTAGGGTGAATAATCCACAGTAAAGGGGTTTTTATCACTAGAGGCTGCAGGCAGTGCACCTTTTTTAGCTGGAGTAGGAGTCAACAGGAGGCTGGCTAGGGAAAAAGAAAAGCTGAGAGCCATGAGCAACATACAGGAACAGCTACCAGGGAGCCAGGAAGCACCCAAGAAACAGTGCCTGAAGCTGGGGTTCCTGCTGCATATTTTATTTTCTCAATGTAAAAATTCAAACCATCTCCAACCTATGACTACCAGAGAAGTTGACATGTAATAATTCCAGACAAAGGATAGGTCTAAAACATTAGAAGTCAGAAAAAACAAAATGAAAGGTGAACAAAGCTAAAATATAAGGAATAAAACCCAGATGTCTGTCAACTGCTGAAGGGGTAAACTTTGGAATGTCACACAATGGAATAATACACAGTAACAAAAAAGGAAAAAAAAACTACTGCTGTGTAGATAAATACAGTGACATGATGTTGACAAGAGTTGAACTCAAAACAGGAACCGTAAAGCGATTCCATTACACCGTTTAAGACAAACAGACACAGCTCTGTTGTGATAAAGATGGAAAGGGAAGGAAGGCTACCTTGGTCAAGCACTCTTATTCTAAGGGAGCTAAAAGGAGTCTCTGGGGATGCTGAATCTATTTTATTTCCTTCTATGTTTTTATTTGTTTATTTGTTTTGGAGGCAGGGTCTCTTATATAGCCGGGACTAGCCAGGAGCCCCCAATCCCGCTGCTTCAGTCTATCAGGTGCTGGGATCAAAGGAGTGCACCTACTATAAATATTTTATATCACGATCTGTATGAACTCACTGAACCACACTTTGGAGTATTATACTTCACTTTTTAAAATTACTAGGTTTTATAACCTATAATAAAGAATAGCGACACTAAAAAAACACCTAGGTATACTAAGAAATGAATCAAGAGGGAAAAAAGACATTAGAAATGAGTCAGGAGCAGTAAATACAGATACAAGGTATACTACTAAATACAAAATATTCAGACAGGATCCCTACAGCTAGTTGTTTAAGTAGAGCAGATGAAATCAGTGAGCTCTGGGTTCAATTGGGAGACCATGTTTCAATATTTAAGGTATAGGCTGGCCTCTACCCACACAAGCACACATGTGAAACTACACATGTGAACAGGCACCTACGCATTTAAACACACATGTAGACACACAAGCCACATATTTCTACACCTGCAAAAATAAAATAAATAGACAAATAAAATAAAAGTGAAACCATATGGCCAGGGCGTTGGTGGTGCACGCCTCTAATCCCAGCACTCGGGAGGCAGAGGCAGGTGGATCTCTGTAAGTTTAAGGCCAGCCTGGTCTACAGAGAGAGTTCCAGAACAGCCTCCAAAACAATACAGAGAAACCCTGTCTTAGAAAAAAAAAGTGAAATTATACAATGTCTCAATAACAATAATGAAATTATGGAAAATCCATAAACACCTGGATAATAAGCAAGAATGTTTATATCACACAAGGCAGGGTATAAGAAATAGGGAAAATAAAAAATTTTGTTATGATAAAAATATAAACATCATTAATCTCTGGGATGCAGAAGAAATATAAAGACATTGAATGATTTTTTGTCACAAATGTTTGTCTTTTTGAACAGAAACATCTCAAATCAATTATTTAGGCTTTCACCTTGAATACCTAGTAAACAAAAGACAAATTAAATTTCCCAAAGAGCAGACAAGATAACAAAAATCATAAAAACAAAAAATACAGTTAATAAGGTCCAAAATTGATTTAAAAATATTTAATCCATCCAAGTAAACTAGAGAGAAGATAAAAATTATCAATACTTAGAACAAATGAAGTGACATCATCATCGACAGATTCTACAGATGTTAAAAGGAAAATTACAAATGGTTTCTGCCCATCAATTAGACAGCATAAGAGGGAAAAATCCCTTAAAAGGCATAAACACCTGACGTTCTGGCAAGAAGAAACAGATAAATCAAAAAGTGTCAATGAACTTACCTTATTATATGTTTGATTTGTGTCAAAATGCCACTTTCTAGGGTGATATTGAGAGCGCTGCTTAGGTACTGGTTGAACTCCTCAAAGAACATTTCATTCCCTTCTTCGTATTTCCCATAGTTCTTTGAGAACTCTTTCTGAATGCAGTGGTTGGTCAAATGGCAGGTCTTATCTTGGAAATTATCTACATGATATGGTTCTGAAGCTGTTCGAAGCACACCCTCTCTATAGAGGTAGATGTTATATTGATGGTCAACCAGGACCCAGCTTCTGCAAGCCAACAAACACACAGTTTTATTCAGATACCAAGCTTTTCATACATAACCTCCACACCTTGATTTATTATTATTATTATTATTATTATTATTAATTTTTGAAATAAGGTCCTCTGTGAAGTCCTGACTGGTCTGGAAACCTCCTTTTAAGATATCTGCCTGCCTCTTCCTCCTGTGCTGGGATTAAATGTGTATGCAACCACCTGGCACACACCTTGCATTTTTGCAGGGAGGAGACAGTGAAAAGAAGGTTCTAAAGTTATATAAGGCAAATCATGAGTTAGCCAAAATAGTGGATTAGCACCATAATGAGGCAACTGAAGTATGTCACAAGTAATGAGAGGTTTGAGTTCCTTTTAGAAATAGACAATCTTGAAGGCTATGCATGTGTCTGAGGTTAACCAATACATGCAAACGTGTGTGTGTGTGTGTGTGTGTGTGTGTGTGTGTGTGTGTGTGTGTGTGTGTGTGTGTCTTGAGTGATACTACAATCTCAGTAACATTTTCTAGAACTCAAACTAAAGTAGCAACAAAGATGAGGGGCTCAGTTGTACTGTGTGGCAACACGCTGGATACAATGTTCCAATGAAGTCACATCTTCTTCTCACCCGTACTAACACATTCTGAAAAGAAGGCTGAGGTCAAGGCTCTGAACAGCAAATATTACCGAATGTCAAACTTGCGGTGACCTGGTTCAAGGAGCAGAGGGCACTCGAGGTATTTCTGGATCACATGCACTTGACCCTGGTTGTCTATGAAATCCAGAAGTTCTGACGCCTCCGAGGAGATGAGGATGCCTTCACCTGACAGAATGAAAGTGACATGGAGACCAGCTCATTCCAAGAGGAACGGCTCCCGACCAAAGCCAGAGGAAACCACAAAACCCATAGGAGGGTTTCACTGGCCTGTTCCCGGACTACCCCCCCCACACTTCTCATGTCTCTCATGCTCTCCTCTCTCCCCGCCAAGAGCATCCAGGATCATCCCACTAACTTTCTCTATATAGTGCTCTCAACACTAACATGGTAGGCCATTAAATTTCAGGTTTTAAAACATACTACAATTATTTTTTGTGTGTATATGTATATGCCATACTGCTTGTATGGAGGCCAAAGGAGTTGGTTTTCTCCTTCCACCTTGTGGGTCCTGGGGATTGAACTCAGGCTGTCAAGTTTAGCAGCAAGAGCCTTTACTGACTAGCCATCTCTCTGGCTCGAAATTTCAATTTTATATATACAGTTTCTAAGTCATTTAAGATACCACTGTCACTGGTTACTGGTTATAATAAGGATTATGGTCTGTGATCACCAAATTCACTTCGAAGATGATGCCCTATAGAAATGCCAAGAAGGCGAGCACACCAGAGCACAAAGGTTAGGGCACAGACCTAAGGAAGCGTGCCCTGCAGTACAACAGAGAAGACCAAAGGCATGAAAACCACCCATCAATTACGAGAGACATGGCCTTTTAACAATTTACTGAGATACAATACCCTAGAAAATCCAACTCTGTAAAGTATACAATTCAATAGTTTTTAGTATATTCAGGAGTTCAACTGTCATTAGAGTCTATTTTTAGAACATTTTCATCATCTCCCTCTAAAATCTGTAGCCATCACTCCTTCACCCCAGCCCCTCACAACTACAACCCCCTGTCTCTATGGACCTGTGTCCTAGCATCTTTCATATGAACTGCATCACACGGTAAGCACACGGCTCACAACTATAACCACTGCCTCTATGGACCTGCGTCCCTGCACATTCCATATGAACTCCATCACACAGCACAAGGCCACTTGTGTGTTCATGGTACAACAAGTTTTCAAAAAAAATTTCACAGAGAAAGATTTTCATGAGGTTTAATTTCTCAGTTCTTGATCTATGGTTTAACACTACTGGTATCATGTTTAAAGATTTCGTTTTGTTTTGTTTTTGTTTTTGTTTTTGTTTTGAGACAGGGTACTTCTGTGTAGCTTTGGAGCCTGTCCTGGAGCTAGCTTTTGTAGACCAGGCTGGCCTCGAACTCACAGAGAACCGCCTGCCTCTGCCTTCCAAGTGCTGGGATTAAAGGTGTGTGCCACCACTGCCTGGCTATGTTTAAAGATTCTTTGCCACTCTCTCACCCACTTTTAGTTTTACCTTTTACATGAACTATAAATTAGGTTTGACTTGATGTATTATGATATTGAAATTTTTTTCTGTGAATATGCACTGTGTATAGCACCACTTGTTGAAATGTTTATCCTTCTTTTGCATGGATATGAGTGTACATAATTCATGTGTGTGTTGATGTGGTTTCCATATGTGCACGTGTGCAGGACCCCCAGGTTGATGCTGGATGTCTTTCTTAACTGCTCTTTTCAACCTTAAGTATTTAGACAGGGTCTCTCGCTGAAACCAGAGCTTGCCATTTCGGCTAGTCTGGCTAGCCAGTTTGCTCCAGTTCCCACTTCCTTCTAGACAGTCCAGAAACTGTCCAGGGAGTGGGCCCATCCACAAGTGAGATGGGTCTTCTCACTTCAGATAATGTATTCAAGATAATCCCCTGCACAGGGTCCCCTTGGGCACGGCTCCCAGGTGCTTCTAGAGTCCATCAAATTGACAACTGTCAATAAAAGAAAGGTAGGGTGGGGGGGGTGTGTGGGTAAAGCACGTGGTGCGCAAATATGAAGCCGGAGTGCAGTCCCCGGAACCCATGTCAAAGCCAGGCGGGCATGGCTGCTCTCTCGTAATCCTGGTGCCTGGGAGGCAGCAGTATGACTCCCTGGAGCAAGCTCTCGTTCTCAGACTGCAGAGGCACTATGGCCAGCTGCTTCAAGCTCCCGTGTCCTTACTTCCTGGCCCCAATGGATGGTACCTTGGATTGTGGGCTAAAATGAGCCCCTCCTTCCTTCAGGTGCATTGTCGGGAGGCTTTCCCACAGCAACAGGAGAAGAAAGGAAGACATATATGTTTGGACCTACTTTTGAGTAACTGATCCTGCTTTGTGGGTTCACACTTGTGTCCTCTGCTACACTGCAGGGTCCCGGGTACTACGGCATTACAGTATGCCTTAACCCTACCCGGTGAGTAGAGTGAATGATTCTCCTCTATCTTTCTAGAGACCTCTGAACATACCCTATAGCCTGTGCTTTTCCATATGATTTAGAAGCTACAGGAAAACCTTGCTGAGCCCTTAACTGGAATCGCAGGAAGCCTGCAGACCACTGTTGGTGAACCGGCACACTTCCTCCGCCGGGTTCTATGGTCTGTGGGCACAACTTGTCTCCACTCTGCAGGTTTTTAAGTCTGAGTTAATATTATGAGTCTTATCCCTTTCTAGGCATCCATTCCACACATGTATTGAGTGCCTGTGTGGAGGGTACAGAAGCAAACAAGACATAAATCTGGGTTTACATGGGGTTTATAATGTGTCAAGGAAATGGCTAGATGTGATACCATCTTGGGAAGACACTAGGACATGCCGACTAAAGACACGGAAAGCAATGGGTGTGGAGGCCACTGTAGACCAGAAGAGCCTTCTCCGACCAGGCATGACTGAGCTGATGGAGACATTCCAGGTACAGAGGCAAATTTATCTGCGTATTTGAGGGATCCAAGGCAGTCTTTGTGTCTACAGCACAGTGAACGAGGTCAAGAATAGAGGATGACATCAGAGACACCAGGAAGCATCTGCTGGGGTGGGCTCCCCGCAGGGTTCTGGAGCCATCCTAAACGCATTAGGAAGTAACATGATCAGATTTATGTCTTTAAATCATCACTCTGTCTGGCAAGATGAGAGATGGCTGGGGGTCCCATTGCAGCAACTGGCTAGAGAATGCTGGCTTTGACTGTGAGTGCTAGTAGTAGACATTATGAGAACCTCATCCTGGACATATTTTGAAGGCAGCCCTGGCATGACGTTACTGCACTTGGAAGAGACTGTAAAGAAATGAGGGATCTGAGATTTGGGGCTCTGGAGATTGGATGGACAGTAGAATCATACACTAAAGAGGAGATGTGAAGGATTAGGCTGAGATGGACGAGCTGGGAAGGATATAAAAGTCCTGTGTCAGTGTAAAAGGCCTCTTAGAGACAGTGAGGGAGGGCACCACTGGGAAGGGTATAAAAGTCCTGTGTCAGTGTAAAAGGCCCCTTAGAGACAGTGAGGGAGGGCACCACTGAACCCAGAGCTTAAAGTGAGGACTCAGGCCACCAGCATTCAGGAGGCTACAGAAATATCTAAAGGGCTGTGGCCAAAATTCGGTAGGTAGAGTATTTGCCCAACATACATAAAGTCCCAGGTTCTATTCCCAGGGCCCAATAGAACCAAACGTGGGAGTGCATGCCTGTAATCCTAGCACTTGGGATCATGGTTTCTGGCCATTCTTGGCCACTTAGAGAGTTCAAGGCCAGCCTAGGCTACATAAGATCCTATCTCAAAAATACTTTTTTTCTCCAGAAACAAACTGGACAAGGTCTTGTGATTGTGATGATTCCGAGTGGAGTCATTCATTTCAATACATCAGTAAGGGCCTGTGAAATGGCCCAGTGGGTAAGGCCACTTTCTATCAACCCTAACAATCCAAATCCAGTCCCTGGGACCCACATGGTGGAAGCAGAACCTGCTCCTGAAGGATCTGCTCTGACCTTCACACGCACACCTTGACATCCATGCCGCTCTCAAAACAAAGAAATAAATACACCTCTAACAGCCAGTGTACCACTGAATGATGCTGAAGAGAATCCCACAAGTGATAGAGGGTGGCAATGGTAACTTACCCTTGGCACCAGCTGATGACTTTGCAATCCAAACGTTGCCTTCCCCATCCTCTTTCTTTCTATTATAAGAAGCCAGGAAGAATTCTCTCTCATCCGTCCTGGAGTTACTGACCGGAAGCTGGATGCCATTCTGGGCTGGAGCAACCGGCGTCTTGAGGTTAGTTGGATAAATCACATAAGACTCTGGAAACCATGTGCAGGATTCAGACAGCTCAGGACTGGTCTTGACTAGCCTGGCAGATGACAGAGGGTCAGTTTCTGTTCCCAGGGAGTGGTCACCTTGCTCAGAAAGCCTGTCCGGGAGCTTACACCCAGTCTGGTTTCTTCCTATTCACTCTTAGGCTGAAGGACAGACCTCCAATGTATCACATTATCTGGTGTGGCTCCAAAGCCATGTCCTGGTTAAATGCCCATGGTGGCCTGGGATTGTGGGGCCCTAGATCCAATCCTCAGAACCACAGACACCAGACTGGGTGGTATTTGCCTATATCCCTAGTATTTGAGGGGTGCAAGAAGAAAGGTCAGACATTGAAGGTCTGGGGACCATCATGAATTACCAGAGACCCTGGCTCAAGACAAATGAACAGCAAAACCCCACAAAGCTCAGACTTGCGCTCTTTCTAAGTGCACCTCTATAAAAACTCAGCACAACCCTAAACAGACACCTTTCAAACAATATATTGTACTAGGTAGGTCCAAATAAAACAAGAGCAGGTCTTCAATCCCAGCACTCCAAGTGGATCTCTAGAGTACAGGCCAACCCAGTCTACATTAAAAAAAATAAAAATAAATAAAAATAAAAATAAAAAAATATGAGAAGAGAAAAAATGTTTGAATAACTTGCAAAAATACTATCTTAGTACAGCTGGAGAAAAAGCACGGGGAGAAAAACTACTTAATCTACTTGATTACTCAGCCTAAATCATCCAAACACTATTTTTAAGTCCTTTATTTCTTGCCTTTAGCTCTGGCTGTTATCCTGACAGAATAAAGAAGGAATCCTTCTGATGAGACACAGACAGGAGCAGACCTAGGGAAATGCCTTCTGCTCCCAGAATGACATAACACCACAGAGAATAGAGTCAGGCGCTGGGCAAGGCTCAAAATGTGAGGGCTTCCCACCACGCCAGCTCTCCTGTCACTCCTGGAGCTCGGGCTTCAAGAATCTGTTTCACAAACGAAGAACCGAGTGGCAGAGATGTAAACTTCCTACATCACACGAGATGCAAACTCCAAACTCCCAAGTCCTAACTCTCATGTTAGCTCTATCCCTAGGAACCGGAGTCATTGAGGTCTAGCCAGGACAAACACAGCCCCCCCCCATGTCCTCTTCAGTCTAGAACAGAACTGCTCATGTGAGTTCTTTATCAAGATTCGCCTACAAAGCTCAGTCTGAGCAAACACCAAAATCAACACCATTTTAAATTAAGATTTAAAATAAAATGGCTGGGGAGATTGCTCTGTGGGTAAAGTGCTTGCTGTGCAGGCATGAGGCTTGCTCTCCAGCCTTGCAGAGAAGGCAGTGTGCTGGGACACACTCTCGTAATCCCTGGGAGTGGGAGACACAGATCCGTGCAGCTTGTTGGCCAGCAGGCTTAGTCTACTGTCTCAAGACGTTTTTGGTTTTTTGAGACAGGGTTTCTCTGTGTAGCCCTGACTGTCCTGGAACTCAGGCTGGCCTTGAATATACAAGACATCCACCAGCCTCTGCCTCCTGAGTGCTGTTATTAAAGGCCTGTGCCACCTTGCCTGGCCAAAACAAACAATCAAACAAATAAATAAGATGGATAGTACTTAAGAACGACACCTGAGACCTGAGGTTATTCTCTGGTTTCCATACACATGGTTATCCGCATATTCCCAAATACATGTGTGTACACACTCACACACACTACACACACACACACACACACATTTAAATAAAGCCACTTTAACAACAAACAGGATTTGAAAGTTTCTTCAACCCAAAGTGACTAAGAAATATAAATCAACAAACCTCTAGGCTCCTGGATGCTCAGCTCTGCACCACTGTCCTAAACGGTCATCATGGGTCTCGTGCAAGCAGTGAGCATTTGAATGGTGGCCAGTACAACTCAGGAAGTAAGCCATAAACTATATCTAATTTTAATCAGAAGACTAATGCACTGCACTCATATTCTTCCAGTAAGTGCAACCTGATTGATTTAACAGGATGCATCTCCTGTATTACCGTATTGCAGCGCTCAGGTCACACACAAAAGAATCACCGTTCTATCCAGGAACAGCAGATTAATTCAGCCCAAGCAATGCTTATTTTCTGTGTGTGGATGAGACACTACGTGTTTATTACACAGTGAGGAAAGCTAGCTATGCACACCATGAGTGGCCTCTAAGGTGGAATACGACTATTTTTCTGGTTTAAAAAATAAATATTGGTGCTGAAGAGATGGCTCAGTGGATGAGAGCACTTGCTGCTCTTGCAGAGGACCTGGGTTTAGTTCTTAGCACCCACATGGTGGCTCACAACATTCCCAGCAAAGAATATTTGATGAGCAATTTTCTCTCCAAGTCAAGAAAGAATCAATAATGTTAGTGGTTGAGATCATAAATACCTAACCAAACACTATTTTAAAGAAGATTTACTTTATTATATTTAAGTGTGTGTGTATCTGTATATGTGTGTGTATACATGTGTATGTGTGTGTGTGTATCTGTGAGTATGTCCACTTGTGAGGATCCCCTAGAGCTGAAGGGCAGACATGATTGTGAACTGCCCTGTGGGTGCTGGCAACCAAACTCACTTCCCCTGCAAAGGCAGTGTGCACTCTTAACCACTGAACCATCTCACCAATCCTTGAACAAAAACATTCTTAAGTATTTCTTTCCCCTTGTAGTGCTGAGGACAGAACCCAGGAACTCCCATGTCCAGGAAAGCCCTCTATAGCTGAGCTGCACATGCCCTGGCCTGTCAACAACTTTTTAACAGGACCTAAACTTGGAACTTCAGTTGGCCACAAAATAGCTTCCATTCTTACACAAAAAAGAAAACCACTGTACATGGATAGATGACAAACATAAATTAGCTTGAAAAGATACTGTGCTGGGCAGTTTTAAGCCAACTGACACAGCTAGAGTCATCTGCGAGGAGGGGCCTCAACTGAGAAAACGCACCCATGGTAAGACCTGGCTGAAGAACATTTCACTAGTTAGTGATTGATGGGGGAGGGCCCCGCCCACTGTAGGTTGGGCTGGGGTCCTGAGTTCTGTAAAAAAGAAGGCTAAGCAAGCCATGAGGAGCAAGTCAGTAAGCAGCACTCTGCATCAGCTCCTGCCTTCACGACCCTGCCCTATCTGAGTTCCTGTCCTGACTTTCTTCCATGACGGACTATGATGTGGAAGCATAAGCCAAACAAACCCTTTCCTCCCAAGTTACTTTATGTCATGGGGTTTCATCACAGCTATAGTAACCCTAACTAAAACAGATATTTCTCAAGTAGTATAGTTAATCCCCAAGTAGCCATTGGCTACAAACTCTAATACCAAAAATTAATTTAAACATTTAAAAAATATGAAAGTTCTCCTTATAGCCTTAAGAAATTATGATGCAGATGTTGCCCAATTAATGCTTTGGGTATGCTTATATGGGAAAATATGGTCAAAATTCAGCCTAAACAATGTTGAACTCGTAGTGCAGGCATCTTTTAACATTTTGCATCTGTCAAAGAATCTCATCCACATGTAAAAACTTAGGTTCTGTCATGGCAGACAGAACTTGAACGAGGATGGGTTAGAATGCAGGCTTACTGGGATGGTGACACGCGTTTCCTTTCCTACCGCATTCCACCATATGGAACATACTGGAAACATTTGCTTTTCTGCACCTGATGATACAAACTGGAAACATTTGCTTTCTCAGGCCCACTCTATAAAAAGCATCCTGGCCACAGCTGCCCAAATGGCTCAGAATACACTTGCAAACATCATGTCACATGAATCACTGGTTCTGAAAACTATTTAAAAAATCCAACAGAAGACTGAGCCCTTAGTGCGTGTTCTCTGCCAATACTCTCTGGTGGAGAGGTGAAAGCATCTTCTTGAAGTAGAAATACTTGCCAAGTCTTTATTTTCACCCAGTAAGATATCGTTTCATTCAATATTCATAGATTTTTATTTTCATTTTATTCATTTTTTTGGCCAAGAGAACAAGATTTTATTGATGTTCAATGTGCAAAATGAAATTGCCAGCTAAACATTAGGATAAAAAATGACTTTAAACATTCGTTAACCCTATTGGTTAAGGAGAAAATTCAGTGGGAGAGGACCCTGGTTCAATTCCTGCACTCCCCCCCATCCAGGAGATGATTCTAGATTCCACAGGGCCATGCTGCAGACACCATAGATTGACACTCAATCCTGGCTGAGACTGCCCAGGACTAGGTCTCTGGTGTTGTCACTCAAAGTAAGAAGGCTGAGCTCCTACCGTAGCTGGAACTGGCATTAACTCCGTACCTAATGCCTGCACAGTGAGTGACTACTCAGGTCTAGGAAAGGAACTGAAGACTTTTCAGGGACAGGGGGGTCTGGGAGTGGTGCTCCCAGGAGTCATAGTTTTTTTTTTTTTTTTTGGTTTTATGAGACAGGGTTTCTCTGTATTGTTTTGGAGGCTATCGGTCCAGCCCGGCCTCGAACTCACAGAGATCCGCCTGCCTCTGCCTCCCGAGTGCTGGGATTAAAGGCGTGTGCCACCACCACCCGGCGAGTCATAGATTTTTTAATGGCACTGATACACAAAATCTCACATATATTCACACTATACACACATAAGCTAAATGTATAAATCAAGGAAGAAACCATACACATAGGATAACTTGTGTTCCAATTTCATATCATGCTAATAATCATGATTTTACATATTTTTATCATGCAACAAAATGCAGAAGACTTTACTTGTGTTTTGAATATTGGCTGAAAAACTGAAAATATGTCAAAAGTAACTTAAAGTTACTTATTGATATGTTCACTACTGCTTTAAATCTAATAGTAAGAAAATCAGCTGACATAATTGGGATACAGTTAATGTGAACTTTTTTCTAAAGATTTATTTATTTATTATGTATACAGTGTTCTGTCTGCATGTAACCCTGCAGGTCAGAAGAGGGCACCATATTTCATTATGAATGATTGTGAGCCATCATGTAGTTGCTGGGAATTGAACTCAGGACCTCAGAAGAGCAGCCAGTGCTCTTAACCTCTG